TTACGAATATGATTCATTTCGCAAAGTTACAATTGATAGTTCGTAAAGATTCAGTATCTCAAAAGGGTGCATTGTTTCAAAATCTAACAGATGATCTTTATGGTATAAAGTTTGCAAATGTTCAATGAGGATATTTATTTCCCTATGATTTAATGAAAGAATGGATAGGACGCTCAAATGATTAATTTGAATTTAAATTTATTTGATGTGCGATTTGCTCGAAGAATTTCATTTGAAAAGCCATATTTTGTGTAACAGAAACTATGCTTTCTTGGATATTGATAGTATTGTGCACAAAAGTGCCTTGCAAACCTTTACAGAAGAAAATTACTTTTTAATTCTATAGATTCAGTGCATGTTGATTTTCATGTAGTTTTGGATTGGTTATATAATTTAAATTAATAAGGAATTGAGTTTTATGACGATTTTCGATTAATCTTGAATTTCCTAGCGGCAGTTTGATTACCGGAGGTGCTTTGAGCAGAGGGTTCATCACTAGCGCTCGAATTGGTAGGCATTGGACTGGTAGAGCTCTGTAAAGGATTTTTACGATGAGGCTTGATTCGTCTCAGCATGTGTTTTCTATCTTTGATTAAAATTTGATTTCCTTGTTGTTTGAAAATAGTGTGTTTTTGATATTTTGGTTTGTCCTTAGTTTGTCTGATTGGGATTTTGATATAGATCGGATATTTTAAAACGGGGATCTTAGATACGCGTTTTTCGTTAATTTTGTTAGTTTGTTTTTTTAATTGATTATAAGAATCGTGAGCGATTTGTTCATTAATTTTGTCTTTTTCTAATATTTGCTTAAGATGTGATGAATAAGGGTCTTCAGTACTACCGTATAATAAATCAAAAGGTGTATGTTTTGTAGTAGAATGAACAGATTGATTGTAATTTAATATAACGTCAGTCATTAGGTCAGTAGTAGTGTCTGTTTTTCGAGTCTGTCTTAGGATTCGAAATTTTTCTCCAATGGTACTATGTCATCGTTCAATTGGTGCAATAGAACTAGGATTGCTGGTGCTTCCTAAGTGCAAATGTATTTCATGAGCTTTACAATAACCTTTAATAACTTCTGAACGTAATTCTCCATAATCGGCATGAAGTGATTTTGGAAATCCATGATGTGAAAAGAAATGTTTCATTTTAGATAGTATGTCAACGTGATTTCGTGACATGGTCTGATAGGCTTGGGCATATCGACTAAAGTGGTCTATAAAAGTTACATATTTAGTATTTTCAATAGTAAAAATATCTATGAACACTAGTTGGAATGGTTTGTTACTGAAAAATGGGCCTTGGATTGGTTCTTTGTAAGGTTTTCGTTCGTATTTAGCTTTTAAACAGATTTCGCATTTATTAATGATGTCAGTTATAAGGTCTTTAAGTTTTGGTGTATAGTGAGTCTTTTGGAAATGAGAATAAGTTTCATTAATTCCGTTGTGAGATTTATGATGGTACAAAGTTATTTCGTCTTTCATTTCTTGTTTGTCTAAATAAATTGGTTTAAATACAGCTTTTTCTAGTACAATATGTTTTGCAGAAAAAGATTGTGTCATAATTTTACTAAGTATGGGCAAAAGTTTCTGATCGTCGCACCAAATTCCGTATTTAATACCAGGGGTACAATAATTTTTTATACAATCCAAAATAAATGAGGAACATAAGTGATTAATTAAAGAGCACCTTAGTGTCTTATTCGGAAGTAATTTGATCTTGTTTTTCTTTTTACCTGTTATAAATTCAATTCGGTGAGGATAGGCATACAAGTTTTTGTCTGAAAATTGAATCGAGTTTGGGTTTGATTCAGGCGAAGTGTGTCTCGTGTTAGTTGATCTGTTTCGTGAATAGTCATTTCTGATTCGGGTGCGTTAGGGATCATTGAACATTTATCTGGATTCGGCTTAAGGCGTCAGCAACTAAATTTGTTTTGCCTTTTTTGTATTTGATTTCGAAATCGTATTCCTCAAGTTTGATTTTCCATCTAATTAATCTCTGGTTTGGTTCTTTCAAATTTGATAACCACACCAAAGGTTTATGATCAGTCTCAATCAGAAATCTATGTCCAAATAAATATGGTCTAAAGTGTTTGCATGAATCAATAATGGCTAAGAGTTCTTTTTCAATGGTGGAATAATTTCGTTCAGCAGAGTTTAATGTTCTTGAATGAAAATTGATAGGTCTTCCGTCTTGTGATAGAACACTTCCTATCGCAATATTTGAGGCGTCGGTTGTTAACGTGAACGTTTTTGAAAAATCAGGATATTGGAGTACGGGTGAATTAGTGATAGTCTTTCTTATTACATCAAAAGCTTGAATGTAATCAGGATATGAAATGTTGATTTTCTCGTCTTTCTTTAAACATTTAGTGAAAGGTTTGGTAATTTAGGCAAAGTATTTAATGATTTTTATGTAATAGTTGGTTAATCCTAAAAATGATTGAATTTGTTTGATAGTTTTTGGTATTGGAAAATCTTGAATGCATCTGATTTTATCCGGATTTGGTTTAATTCCATTTGGCGTTATTACATGTCCCAGAAATGGAACGTCTGTTCTTAGAAACTCTGTTTGTCTGTTGTCAAGTTGTATTTTCAATTGATGTTTAATTAAAGCTTGAAATATAGATTTCAAATGAATAAGGTGGTCTTGCAATGATTTTGAGAAAATTATGTCATCTAAATAGACGAAACATATTTTTCCGATGTAAGCTTTTAAAACAAAATTCATCATTCTTTGGAATGTTGCTGGAGCGTTTTTCAGTCCGAAGGGCATTCGTAAGTATTCATAGTGCCCGTTGTCGACGGTGAAGGCAGCCTTTTCAATTGAGTCTTTGTGCATAGGAATCTGATGGAATCCTTGTGCCAGATCTAACGTTGAAAAATATTTAGCTTTGCCTAAACTCTCTAATATTTCTTCAGTTCGGGGCAAAGGATATTTATCTTCGATAGTAATGTCATTTAGTTTACGAAAATCGATTACCATGCGATATTTTTTAACGCCGGAAGCGTCAGGCTTCTTATTTATGATCCATACAGGTGATGAGTACAGACTTGTACTGGGACGGATGATGTCATCTTGCAAAAGTTTAGCGACTTGTTTCTGAATTTCGGTTTTTAAATAGACTGGATAGCGAAAAGATTTTACAAATATTGGGTCGTCGTGTTTTGTTCTGATAGAATGAGATGTTACAGTACATGGTTCTAATTTTTCGTTAGGTTTTAGAAAAGCTTCAGGAAATTTTCTACAAAGTTCTGTTATCTTGTATTTTCCTCATCATTCATGTGATCGGTTCTTATTAAAGTTCCAATATCAGTTAAATTATCTTCATTCTGGGGTGTTTCAATGTCGTAATTATCCAAATTGTCGTATTTGATGCATTGATAGTTTAAATCTAATAGATTTGGATTTTCTGGGTATAGTACTTCATAATTATTTACGGTACAAATCATCTCGGGTGTGTAATCGTTAGAATTTATATATTTAATAGGTGGAACGATAGTTTGTCCATTTTTGATAGGGAATTTTAGAACTTGATTTTTGATTACAGTGTTCGGGACTTTACGTGGTATTTTGTCAGTGTGGCAAATAGAGTCTAAACGATCAATGGATAGCAAATTCGTAGATGTTTGTAAAGTAGCTTGAAATTTTTGTAGATCATAATATCCTAGCAAACAGTCAAAACGTTCGTGCCAGTCTAAAATAAGAAATTCAATTTCAGTGTTAATGCCATGTTCATTGAACAAAGGAATTCGCAAAGCGTATTCACCGTGCTTAGTACCAATGACAGATTTTATTGAAAAGTGTTTTGGATAAATGTAATCTGGAAAATAATTGATAGCGATTTGAGTATTGATCAGAGACAGATGCACCAGTGTCTATAAGAACTAGCAAATCTAAATTTTGTAAATAAATGTATGGTAAATGTGTGTTCTCATAATTATTGAGATCTAAGTCGATGGGTTTTGATTTGGGGCTTTCGGAAAATTTTGAGTTGTCTCTTCAGGGGGAAACTAGGGTTACTATCTGAATTTTCATATTCTTGTTGGTCATAGTATTGCTGTTCATCGTATTCTTGTTCGTTTTGTGATTGTTCGGTCGCTTCGGTGTTGGTTAGTTCTTCAGCGATAAAATTTGGTCTTTGTCCGTGATTTGAGAAAAAGTTAGGGCGGTATTGATGCTGTTGTTGCGAGTGGCGGTTCGTAATAGTTGATGTAGACATGGGTGTCGGTTTAAAGTTTTTTGGTGGACCTTGTCTATTTTGTGGATAGAAATTAGGCTGTCGTGGTTGAATTTGTCTTTGAAATTGATTATTAAAATAATTTGGTCTGATGTTAATCGGGCCAGTTGGGAAGTTAGATCGTTGTGGCTGTTGGTAAAATTGCGGATTGTAAAATTGTTGGTTTGAAGGGAATCGCCACAGGTGAATTTTGAACGGCATTTGTAGGTTTCGGTTTTTGAATGGCGTTAGTATTTTTGGCATTTTGTTTAGTAAATACTTTGCATTGCGATTGTATTTGTAAATTATCGTATTTTCGACAAATTTGTAAGGCAGCTTGTAGGTGTTGCGTTAAATAGGAGTGATTTATATGGTTCTTTAATACCAGTTACAAATGAATTTAATGCAGCTTCTGTGTAAAGGTCGACTCTAGATTGAGCAACTACATCAGAAAGTTCCAAAAGAGCATATTCTCTAAGAATATGTAATTTTTGCAAAATTTCAGTATGAAAATTCATATAGTCTGTGTACTGCGATAAATTTCTAAGTTCATCAAGTAGCATTAATTCGGATTTTGAATCTTTGTAACGTTCTTTGAGAATTTCTTCAAATTCTTGCCAAGTTTGAGGATTATTTCGTTCAACGATAACAGAAGGTTCTCCTTGTAGTTTGGATTTTACGTACGATAAAGCATGAATTTGATATGGGCCATGCAAAGCGGCAACAAATTCTCTAGATTTACGTAAATATACAGATAAATTATTTGATGTTTCAGAAAAAATAGGCACACTATCTTTCAATAGGTTAAATAACATTTGTGGATTGTCAGCCATAGTTGTTCTGAATTCCTCTCAAACGTTAGCTTGGTTTTTTACTGGTTGTCTTCTAATGGGTGATCGTTCTCGTACTGGAGATTTACCAAAAGTTTCTTTGACTAAATAGATAAAATGGATTTGGCTTACTCTAGCGTTATGTGAAAAATCAAATTTTTCATAACGGAGACTGCTCTAGTTCTTGTAGCTCTCTGTTTCTCTAGGCTCTAGGCTTGTTCTGCAGGCACCTCGGACGTGGCTATCAGGTTCTCAGATCGTTTCTCTTACGGAAGTGGATACTTCCTACCTCACAATGGTTGGTCACACAGAAGGGACGTAGTTCAGCTCACCTGATGATGGGCTCGTACAAACTTCCAGATGTTTTCCACGAAGGCGTATAACGATCCTGTTCGTAGCGCCAGATAAAGAATGCACACGTCGTATGATAAAAAAATAACAGACTTTATTGCAGGAACGAAGAGTGGTTACAAGTATTGAACAAAATCTGTGTGTGCCTCGATATAATTCTAATCTTTATAGGAAAAATAACAGAGCTGTATCGAAAAAAAAGAAGTAAAAAGCAAATATTTCTTAATGGGGTTACCAACAGGATTCCATAACTTACATTGGTATCAGAAAACATATTGTTTTGCTAGACTCCTAGACATTCTAAAACTGGTTTAAAAAACGGTTTTCTTTTTACAGTGGCTTAAAGCCGACGTACTCGTTGTGTTAGAAAATGAAATAAAATGAAAAAATGTGTATTTACAGATAATATTTTATTAATCTGATAATTAAACCAAATGAAAATTGAAAAATATTATTTCAGTTTGGTAATATTCTAAGAATAATGAAAATCCTTCATCTTATATTTTCACAGCATGTAACACCCTTGTTGCATCCTGCTGTCAAAACGTTACACACTTATTTACGCTTATTTGAAGATTTGTAATGAATAAAATAAGTATTTTCAAATCTATATTTAGTTTAATTATCCGCTAAATAAAAGCTTGCTTTTAAGAATGTATGCTTTTACTTAATTTTTGTATGATGTCAAATAACTAGTTTGGTAAATTCATAGCGGTGACCATAAAAATCATAAATCTCCATTTAGTGACGGCCGCCATATTGGATTTAGAATGAAGTCCCGTTGCATATTATATTTCTAACGTAAGCTGGCGTTTTTTGCTTACGCCATATTTGATTTAGAATGACGTCACTTTGCGAATTGTGTGTGTATGCATATGGAAAATGTAAATGGTCGTTTCACGGCGGCCGCCATATTGGATTTAGAATTGCATCACATTGCTTATTGTGTTTCTCTGATCAAGCCCTTTCGTTTGATACTCATGTCATATTGGTAGCTATGAGAAATGTAAATCACCATCTTGCGGCAGCCGTCATATTGGATTTACTACTATTTTGCTTATTGCATTTATCTTATAAAGCCATTTCATTTGATATCCATACCAAAGAGTCGTGATAAATCACCATTTTATAGCATCCGCCACATTGGATTCAGAATAGCGACAGTCAATTCATTTTGTACGGTCAGGTTAAGGTTACCTGGTTCAAAATTCAGTTCCCAGATTTGTCCCACACAAACAATCAAATAGATCAAGTTAAATAAAAAAAACGAAAATATCATAATTATGCAATGATTAAATACATACACAGTCGAGGATTGAATAAGATGAAAATACTGGTATGTAACAGGAATTGGTGCTCTTTCAAGCTGTACATCATTTAATCGAATTACTGAATTTAAATGTGGCAGGACAGACGTCCATGAGAAGGCACACAGTGGAGGCACGAAAACTGCTACATACATATGCTGGGCTTTGATTGGCAAAACTGTGTTTTAAATCAATACCTTCCGAATTTTATATTGCTCCTTGGTGAGATCAAATTTAGAATATGCCACAGTAGTATGGTCCCCTCAGTACCAGTGTTATAAACATGATTTAGAAGCCTGTCCAGTATAAATTTTTACGTCTTGCAGCATTAAAGAGGAACTTAAACATGACGGAATATCATAGAGCTACATGGTAGTACATTTGCGTTTACCTACATTGGAGCATAGACGCTTGGTCTTTGATGGTTGTTCCGCTTTCAAGATTTTATTGGGGATCATCAATTGCGAAACTTTGTTAACATTAATAAATCTTAATGTACCCCGTAGAACATTGCGTAATAATAGTCTGCTTGCGATTAAGTTCCATCCCACAACCTATGGTCAGCACTCTCCACTCGATAGAGCATTTCGTGTTATCAATTTAGCTCAGTCTAATATTGACATTTTTATCTGTACACTCTCCGGCTTTAAAAATTATCTTTTAAATTGTGATTTTTATAATTATGTCTTGTGAGCTTGCATGTTGTTCCCATTTCGTGACTTTGAAAAATGGGGTCACCCGTAAATTTGGTAAATAAATAAAATAAATAAGCAATAATTTCATTATTCTATACACCATACAGTTTTAGATAACAAACGCATAGCTACATATGAAATTGCTGAAGCTGTGGGCTTCTCAAGTAATCTTTTGTTTCATATTTTGGGAAATGGAAGCTTTGGCTATATAGTGACACATTCAATAACTTTGGATCAAAAACGAACCTGAGTAAGACTTTTCCAACAAAATCTCGATCAATTTGCAAAGGATAAAACTGATCCTGTGCGTAGAATTGTAGTTAAGGATTAGACCCCTATAACCCTAAATTGCGACCTCAAACCGCAGAGTGGAGTGGAGTGTGTTCTGTTCCGAAACAGGCAAAGTTCACCTGAAAAGATTATGACATCCATATTCTTGAAAGATTACCTGCAGACAATCAAATGTGTAACAGCAAGGTTTTATTTTAACCTTTTTTGATAAACTGGCTGTTGTAATTTGGTTCAGGTTTACACAAGACAAAAAACGCTCTAACAATGGTCAAGTATTTAAAAAAAGGTGGGTTTGTACATATTTTGCAGTAATATTATAATTAGGGCTGGGCTTATGAAATGTTTTCTGGTTAACGATTAACGTCTTCGTTTAAACGTCTCCGTTTAAACGTCTTCACGGGCATTTTTGACCATTTTCTTAAACACGTATAAACTTGTATTTGATACTAGGTTTTAAAATAAATATGTAGTATCGAATGTTTCAGCGCTTTATGGTATTTCACGTTCAATATTTGCATTCGATTTAATGATATCAAAGACGATTGACCTTGTAAAGGCTGTGCAACAATGGGTATTAAAGCATTTTTAGGTAATTTCCTAATTTTTTACACTAAAAATGTAGACGGCTCTGCTAGTGCAAGTAAAGATGTTGCTGTTGACTGTGGCCAGGTGGGAGAATGCGAATTTATAGAGCTGCTTTCCAGTGGTTTTGTTTAAAACTTATATCGTATCGTTGCTGAGCACTATTAACTTACTCAGAGCTACTCCGAGTAACTCAAGTGTGTCACTGGAAAGCAACTCAGACAACGCGCAAGCACGTATTAACTGAAGAACAAAGTCTCACACATTGATTGATCTGGCTACACGTCAAATATTCAAGATTCTGAACTAAAAGGTCAAAAATTTAAAAATTTCATTGAGAATAAGAAAAAAATAGGTGAATTTTTTATATAAAAACGTATAAACGATTTCTGAGAGGAAAACGTTCGGGATAAAAACTGTTAGGCATTTTGCCATTTTTTGCCGAGATCTAATTTTAAAGACTCTCAGGCTTCATATTATAATCAATTTCTCAAACATTTGCATCTACAGATTTGCTCTTTAAGAAAATTTAAATACACACATCATCAAAAGTGTTGGACCCCCTGGCGTACTGGGAAACTATAGCATTCTAATTTCAATCTTTGATATATTTTAAATTTGGAATATGTTTACTATATTTATTTAACAAAACGTTAAATTAATTTCATTAATATGAAGAGAAAAAGAAAGTTGAACAAGTAAGGTACCAAAAATTTTATTTTTAAAAATCAAAATTAAAAAAATAATTATTCTAAAGCAAAATAAAACATAATTAATAACCAGTTCGGTGTCCTCTAGATCTTAGCAGTGCGTTAACACGCCTTGGCATTCCTATTATTCGGTGGTTAATGTTTTCTTGGGGTAAATTATTCCGCTCTTCATTTACTGATGCAGCCAGCTCATTTAGGGTTGTAGGTGGATCTATTCTATTCCGTACGGCTCGAGCTATAGTGTCCCAAATGTTTTCATGGGGTTCATGTCTGGGCTATTCGCAGACCACGGCAATCTCACTATTTGGCCCCTTTCTAGAGCCGGCTGGACCCTTCTCGCTCTAAGTGGCCTTGCATTATCATCCATAAAAATGAAGTTGTTACCGAATTCATTTCGCAAAGGTTGAATAATGGGTTGTATGACATTTTCTTCATAAATTTCTGCTGTCATTGTTCCCTGGATCTGAATTAAAGGACTCCGCTGGTTAAACATTATGCCTCCCCAAAACATTATTGATCCGCCCTGATATGGGACAACTTCTCGGGCCAAATTTAGTCGCTGATCATGTCCTGGTTCTCTCCAAACCCTTATTCTACGATCACCACTCACCAGTCCAAACCTAACCTCATCTGTAAATACCACATTTCGCCACTGTGGTAAAAGCCACTCCTGATGTTCTCTAGCCCACTGGAGACGAGCAGCAATTTGTCTACGAGTAAGACGTGGACCCCTTAAAGGTCTTCTAGGGCGCAAATTAGCCATTCGCAATCTTCTTCTGATGGTAGAAGTGCAAAATAACTCTTCGAAAGGTATGTTGAATATGCGATCTGATAGCTGTAGTTGTTGAAAATCGATTCCTTCGAGCAAATAGAGCAATGTAACGATTCTTCCTATCATCTGTTACTCCAGGACGCCCACTGCGTGACCGATTTTCAACTGAGCCAGTTTCTTGGAATCTTTGAATTGTTCGAATAACCGAAATTCTTGGGATACCCAAATCCAGTGCTATTCGGTAATTTGAAAATCCAGCTTGGAAGAGGATACTATTCGTATTCTATCAAAACCAGAAATATCATCTCGCCGCATTTTAAAAGTTACAGTATAAAATTTTATTTAAATACTTTTTGCTCATACACTACCGTTTAACTGACTTATTTCTATAAAAATCCAAACACATTTTTTCTCAACGGTTTTTTTGCGTTTTTTGCTTGGTAAATATATAAAGATTTTTTGTTCACAAACAGAATGTAGATAACGTACCTCTAGACGGATTTATACAGGGGGTCCAACACTTTTGATGATGTGTGCAGTATGGGAGTATAGCAAGTGTCCGTTCCGTTAAAACTTTCTCAAAAAAAATACTTGTGTAAAAAATCCATGCATTTCTACAAATATAATCAAACGCAGTTTGTCTATGAAAAGTGCGATGATACGCCACTTATATTTTCCTTCAGTTCCTCGTCTAATAATTTCCAATTCGTTTGGTATAGGTAAATTAGGTTGAAATGATTTTAACCTATAATTATATATGACTTTTCCTATTATTTTTTGTTATTATTCTTTATTGGTGTTATTATTATTATTATATACATTGAGACTTGTTGCTTGGACTCTTTATGTTCTAATGCCAATAAATAAAAAATGTAAATAAAAAAACTAAACGCAACTGCAGGTCATCTAGAGGCGATTGTAATCTAAATATGTCCTCTATCTTGTTTAATCAGTAGATTACTTTCACGGACAATGAAAAACAATTTAAAAACTGCTCTCTCAGACCAGGCGAGCTACGGTTTGAGAATTGTGTTTTTCAAAAAGAATCTTATTTGTGCACAAAATTCTCTTCAATAGCCCAAAGAAACTCGAATAATTTTTTGAAAGGGGCTGAGGTGCAACATGGGTAAATGATCAACTGATTCAGAGAAGTGCAAGAAGTCTTTTCTAAATTTTGATCCCTAGGCCATACTCACAAATAAATAGACTTGGCAAATACGACGAAAAAAGTGTATGTATGGAGCCGATCAGGAAACGTCTGACTTTTTGCTTATAATTGCGCTATGACTAATTTATGAAAACGCAGCAATCTTCGGCATTGCGCGTGGATATAATAATATCGTCTCCCACATTTTATCAAAGCACCTGCTTTGACAAACAAATGTTTCATCCACATTTGTAAATTCTAGATACATCTTTAAGGTTCAAATATAACAAAATGAACATTGAGGAACGAACAAATGACCTGGAGCAAATTCGCTCAGGTGTGCTAAAATTCTACTCATAGTACAAGACGTTTTTAGTCAACGAGTTATACTCTATGATTTTATAACCTGATACAATGATTGAGAATACAGAATTAACCTTTGAGAGAAGTCGAAACGAAGAACTGCTTCAAAAAAGGTCTATTCCATCCACATTTTAGGCACACCTCAATTTGAATCTACCCCAACCGCTATCGTTCCACCCTGACCATATTCTTACCCCGGCGTATTTGGAGCATCGTAAACTTTTCCGGCAAATAAAATAAGAATCAAAATGAAATAAAAGCTGAGGGGACATTGTCCGAAAGTTTAAACGGCTTGGCCGATAAGGCTTATCCCGATTTTCCGTCGGCATTACAGTTGGTCCGTGGGGGACTACATGGAGCAGCCAGTTGAACAGCACTGGAGGACGTAGATTTTGGACCCAATGGTGTCCGCAAAGGAGATAATGACACACGTTCACAAAGGGTTGTACGTATATTTAACTATTATTACAGTCGAACCGTTTTTGTTACGCGCAATTTTGGAATTTCTAAAAAAAAATGCGATAGACCATCGTTTGTTCATTACCAGGAGCAACTCCTTTGTTTTTTACACCGAAGCAGCCGCTCAGACAGAAGCCTAAATGCCAGTGCCACCGAGGCTATTGTAAGGATCTCAACGATACCTTATTAATCCGATTTTTTAACTGCCAGAGTTTAGTAGAACAGAGAAAAGTCCCTTCTGTAGACTGTTCCACAATCTCGTCAGCCTCGGAACAAAGGAGCGGTCGTATCGGCCAGTTCTGGATGTACGAAGCTCGACACGGTTAGGATTGGAAGCGGAAGTCAGGCGAGTCTGTCAGGCAAGCATATCGCGCGGCGACATCATGGAGGAAAGCTCGGAGGAGCAAAGCCAATTGGTGTAGCGGTAAAAGAGAGCTAGATCGCCGATGCGAAAGGGTCCCAAGCCTGTCTGCTAGGTCTTATCTGGGCCTTGTATATAGTGAGGAGGACTTGTGGAGAAAAGTACTTCTTAGTCCTAAACAAATAGCTTAGCTTTCTCCCAACAGCTGCCGCTATTGACGAAATGTGTTCTTGCCAGATCAAGTCTTTGGTGATCTGGACTCCGAGCAGCCGAAATGAACGGCTCGTTGACCATCCAGCGAAACCGGATGAGCGGCAGAATGCTTTATGTTCATCTGGGTACAGTACTGTGTAGTGGAAGCATTAAAAACATTAAGATTGTTGCGTCTCCTAGCAGTGATAACCTCCAGGTGTCTCGTCAGTGAGGAAGTTGCTGCTAGCCTTCTTTTTTCCAGCTCACCGACAGAGATCGGCTTGTTGCTCTGAATTCCTGAATGTAGAGTGCTATTTTCTTGTTTTTATTATCTTCATGCATAGTCCCCTATACAAGTAATTCTCAACTTATCGGTATTTTGCGTACACATTATAAAAAATAAAATTTATTACTGATTGATGAAATAATTTGACAGCAGTGTAGTTTAAAATCATTTTAAAATCATTCTCCACTTCTGCTTTTTCTTATAGTACGTCATATGAAGCGATAGAACCATATTTTTTCCTCAATGACCCAAAATATTAGATCAAGCGGAATGCCATTGAAGATACAAAAAGATAAAACCCACTCTTCGTAAAACAAAGCACTTATATGTTGACAAAATTATTCATTCATCCGATAACAAAATGCCCTTTGTTATTTCTTACGCAAGTTTGTGCCCTTGTTTCGTATTCCTGTAGCAGTAGTCAGTTTACTAAGAAAATATGATAACTACGCAGATTCGAAATATTTAATAATAATAAGTTTAATACACAGAAAAATGCTCATCATTACAATAGTTCAGAACAGAAGATACACTCCAGAAGTACAAAACCGTAGTACACATACGTAGTCGTGCCATAAGTTCTGTCCCATGATAATCTCATGATAAAAATGAAACAAGATAAGATATATTTATATGAAAGATATTATTTATTCGACAACATTTTTAGAATTCATAATCAAACAGTTTTATTCAAAATGTCCCCCCTTGGCCTTCACACACTGCTTCAATCTCGCGGGCCACTCATCTATCACTGCACGCACAGCTTCCAAAGGAATAGCTGCCGCTGATCGGATCAAATCCGCTTTCAGGGACTCGATATTACGGTGGGCTTTGGAGCAGGCCAACTGCTCTAGCAGGTCCCACAACTTGTAGTCTAAAGGATTGAGGTCCGGACTCCCTGAGGGCCAATCTTCCGCAGCAATGAACTCTGGCACATTGCTTTCCAGCCAGCGCTGCGTACTCTTAGCCTTGTGTGCGGGGGCGGAATCCTGCTGGTAGACCCAGTGTTGGTTGGCAAACAATGTACCACTTAAAGGCTTGACGATAGGATCCAGTATGTCGCTCTGATAGTTTGCCGCTTTTGTTTTCACGCCCTGTTTACAGAAATGGAGCTGAGTGACCCCTTCGTAGGACACCCCCCACCAAACCATGACTGACGCAGGGTGGTGGCCTCTCTCAACTCTCGGAATGATCTCCGAAGCTTCCTGTGAACTCCTTGCATACACTTTGTCATTTTGTCGGTTGAATTTTTCTTCTATGGTGAAGATTTTCTCATCCGTGAACAAAATCTTTCGGAATCCCCCAGCTGCGTACCTCTCCAAGAGCTTCTTGGATCTTGTCGCCCTGATGTGTCGCAAGGTGGCCGTAAGTCGCTGGCCCGTACGTCTCCGGTAAGCCCCTAGCCCTAGGTCTTGTTTAATGATGCGCGACATCGTCCGGACAGGAATCTTCATTTCCCTGGATAGGATCTTCTGCTTCCGGAGTGGATTCCTTTGAATCCTGGCTTTTACGGCTTTGATGGCTGCTGGAGTCCTTACTTGACGAGGTCTTCCGCTTCTTGGCCTGTCATCAACAGAGGACGTCTCATTGTACCGCTGAATGGTCCTAGACACAAATTTACGCGATATTTGAAGGCCGCGTAAGAGTTCAAAAATCTGACTAGCACTGTGATTACACTTATGTAAAGCTATCACTGCAATACGGTTCTCTGCCTTGCCTCACTCCATCGTTATGCTTCGAGAGATCAATACAAACTGAGGTATATGTAATTACCCGAAAAGCGCTTAATCAACTGACACCACAATGTAAACAATCGGACAAGTATTAACAGGTCTACACTTGTTTGAAAACGAGGGACAGAACTTATGGCATGACTACGTACATGCATGGTTATGTTGTAAAGTACTAGCCGCCATGTTAATTCCTAATACACGTTTGTGCCCTTTGGTCTCATTTGTGCAAAATCTTACATTTGAACTTTGAATGGCAAGTTTTGCTTCTGCTCTCTAGAATAAAGTGAAAAACTCAGAAATTACTAAATTACTCTATGGGCAATATCTTGATAAATCGTTGAATTAAATTCGAAAGATACCCCATTTATGTCGTCATGCGTATGACACTGTTCTAAATTCCAATGAAAATCCATACTTTGAAGTTACTCACAAACGTTATTGTAGATACAACTCTCTAAAAATAATTTATTTCTTGAATGCCACTTTCCATTTTTTTTAAATATTAGTAACTTGAAATACGACGAAATGTGAAGTTTAGATACAAAATACATTTTCGTCCTTTCCGTAGTACTAACCTTGTGTCTC